TTCTTCTTCTTCTTCTTCTTCTTCTTCTTCTTCTTCTTCTTCTTCTTCTTCTTCTTCTTCTTCTTCTTCTTCTTCTTCTTCTTCTTCTTCTTCTCCCTTCTCCCTTCTTCTTCTTTTTCTTGAGACAGGGTTTCTCTGTAGCTTTGGAGCCTGTCCTGAAACTAGCTCTTGTAGACCAGGTAGGCATCGAACTCACAGAGATCAGCCTGCCTCTCTAGTGCTGGGATTAAAGGCGTGTGCCACCACTGCCTGGCTTTTCTTTTTTTTTTTTTTTTTTAAACAGGGGCTAGTTTGAATGGATTTCTGTCATTTGTAACTAAGCTTCTGACACTCTAGCTTCAAGATACTGACCATCGGGGTCTACAGAGCTAACAGGAGACCCTGCAAAGATGGGGTCCCTGGGCCCCTTCAGTCCACATGCTCATCTGCCTCACCTGACTACACTGGATACTATCACATAACACAGCTTTCCTTTCTAAGATTAAAAACTATTATTTTGGCTCCTGTACCAGGAGGTCCATCTGGAAGGGTCCTGGGCCAGCAAGAGGCCCTGCTCCTGTACCAGGAGGTCCCACATCAGAGCACTGGACTGAGCTCCCAAGGTTCAGTTGAAGAGCAGAAGGAGGGAGAAGATGAGCAAGGAAGTCTGGACCACGAGGGGTTGGTCCACCCACTGAGACATTGTGCCTGTTCTAATGGGAGTTCACCAAAACCAGCTGGACTTGGACTGAACGAGCATGCGATCAAACCGACTCTCTGAATGTGGCTGACAATGGGGGCCGACTGAGAAGCCATTGATAACGGCACTGGGACTTGTTTCTACTGCATGCACTGGCTTTTGGGGACCCTAGTCTATTTGGATGCACACCTTCTTAGGCCTGGATGAAGGAGGGAGGGCCTTGGACTTCCCATAGGGCAGGGTACCCTGCCATCTCTTAAGACTGGAGTGGGAGGGAGGAGGGTGAGTGGGGGAGCAGGAGGGGAATGGGAGGAGGGGAGGAAGTGGAAATTTTTGAATGGAAAAAATAAAAATATATAAAAATAAAAAAACTATTATTTTTTATGTGTATATGTTTTTGTCTTATGAGATTATGTGTATCATGTGCTTGTAGGAGCCTGCAGAGATAAGATTTGCAAGAGCAGCCGGCAATTGCTTGTCTCTTTTTCCTTCTCTCTCTCTCTCTGAAATAGTCTATCAGCTATCATAATCTCAAAATCATGGCTATCCTCCTACCTCAGTTCATTAAAAGCATGGATCATCACATGCGATGTGTGGTTGGAACCTCTAGCTTGCCCCATTCCTCTCTCCCTTTCCTCCCCTCCTCCCTCCTCTTTCTCCAAACCCTGCCTGTTGAGAGCCTCTGAACACAAGAAAGGTGCCAAAAAGCCCAGTTCTGCATTCTTGGCGGCGACTGCAGCTTCCTCTCCTGAAGTTTCTAGCCACCCAATAAGTCCCCCACCTCAAACGCTCAGCTTTTGATCACACATGGGCACAACCCCAGCCTGTGGTGGATGCATTATCACTCCTCATCTACAACCTATAAAGTTTCCCTGCTTTTGTTTGTGGGCGCGGCTTCCCAGGCCTGGGTCTCTGGGAGTGGGGAACCTGCCCAGGAGTTAGTTGCTTTGCTCAAATAAACTTGTTCTACTTTTTCAATTTGGCTTGATCTGGCTTGCCCATCCTGTGATGGATGAGGTGACCCCTATCAGGTTTCTGGATGGGGTTGTGTGGGGAGGAACCTGTTAGTGACCACTACTTAAAGTGTTTCTGTTTTGCTGTCAGTTTTGAGACAGAGTCTCAAGTAGTTCAGATTCTCTTAAAGACTTTCCACGTAGTTGAGGATGACCTTGAAATCCTAATCCTCTTGCCTCTACCTTTCACAGCTGGATTATAGGTTTATGTCACTACTCCATGCTCTTCCCTCTTCCCTCCCTCCCTCCCTCCCTCCCTCCCTCCCTCCCTCCCTCTTTCTCTCCTCCCCCCCCTCCTATTAAAGCTTGAGGATCATTTCATCAGCATTTGATAGAAAAGCCAGAGTGAGCAGAGGGGAGGGGACAGAGGGAGAGGAGCAGAGAACGCCACTCCTTTTCAGTTAGGGTCCATCTTTCCCTGACTGAGGCAAACTGCACCAGCTGAGCAAATGACCCAGCTTCTTTCCAATGCATGGCATGGGAATGGCTTCTATTAGAGAGGACGAACATGCAAGAAGCCCATGCACTCCAGTGATGAGTGACTTTAAATCTGTACTCACTGGGAAAGGGCACGCCGTGCTTACCTGCCTACGGCTCCATTTGCCCCCATGATCAGACCACTCAGCAGTTGCTAAGGAAAAAAGAGACAAAGAGACTCGCTTTTTTTTTTTTTGAAACAAGAAGAGCTGTCATATCATAAACAGCTAAAATGGATCACTGTGAAGCTGGGATATGCCCAGGGGATAACTTACCTCATCCACCCCAAACAGCAAAGCAAACTGTCGCTGCTGATTCTGATCCACGCACTGCCCGAAGTCTAAGAGATCCGTGTCACTGAACTTCAGTCCTTGAAAGCTGGGGATCTTCTCCTGAATCCCATCAAGCAGCTCTTCTGCACGAACTTCGGAGCAACAAACACTTACTTCATCAATGCACACAGCAACAGACACTGTCGATTACCGTCTCGAGCTGGCATGTTGGCACATGACTATATTCCCAGTCCCAGCACTCTGAAGGCAGAGGCAAGGCGATTCTGGGGCCAGCCTGGGCTACATAACAACAGCCTGGGCATGGTGGTGCACACCTTTAACCCTAGCATTCAGGAGGCAAAAGCAGGCAGTCTCTGTGAGGCTGAGGTTAGCCTGGTCTACATTCCCAGGCCAGCCAGGGCGGGATACATAGTGAGACTGCGTCCAGCCTGGGGGAGGTGGCCTTTAACCCCAGACTCAGGAGGCAGAGCCAGGCGGATCTCTGAGTTCGAGGCCAGCCTGATCTATACAGTGAGCATCAGCGCAGTCAGGCTATTGGGAGAAAGTGATGGAGGAGGGTCATATGTCTATTGGTTAATAAAGAAACTGCCTTGGCCCTTTTGATAGGACAGCAGCTTAGGTAGGCGGAGTAGACAGAACAGAATGCTGGGAAAAAGAAGCCGAGTCAGGCAGTCGCCATGATTTTCCCACCTGACACAGACGCAGATTAAGATCTTTCCTGGTAAGCCACACCTCATGCTGCTACACAGATTATTAAATACGGGTTAAAACAAGATGTAAGAATTAGCCAATAAGAGGCTAGAACTAATGGGCCAGGCAGTGTTTAAAAGAATACAGTTTCCCGCCTTTAATCCCAGCATTCGGGAGGCAGAGGCAGGCGGATCTCTGTGAGTTTGAGGCCAGCCTGGTCTACAAGAGCGAGTTCCAGGACAGGCTCCAAAGCCACAGAGAAACCTTGTCTCAAAAAAACAAAAAAACAAAAAAAAAAAAAGAATACAGTTTCCGTGTAATTATTTCAGGTAAAGCTAGCCAGGTGGCAGGATGCAGCCCACTGCTGCTCCTCACTACAAGAAAGGGCTATGGATTCTTTTATCTTTCTTTTTTGAGACATGATCACCTGTAACTGAGGGTGGTCTCTCTACAAAGCTGCTGAGGATGACACTGAACTTCTGCTCTTCCTGCCTCCACCATGAAAGTTCTGGGATTATAGGTGTGCATTGCCATACTTTGTTCATGGGAAGCTGTGCACATCCAAGGTGAACACCGTACTTTAGATCTTCATCCACACTTAGGCCATCGCCTTATCTAACGAGATGACCACCCCTAGCCCATCCTGTGATCTGATGAGGTGACCACCCTGGTCCATCCTGTGATCCGATGAAGTGACTAGGGATATAGCTTAGTGGTAGACTACTTGCCTAGTTTGAGCGATGCCTTTGGTTCAAGACCCAGTATTGCAAAACTAACCGAATAAATGAATATGGATCTAAAAGGTGCTTGTTATAGATGTTTAGGATCTCGTGCTGTAGCCCAGGCTGGACTTTAACTTCCTATGTAGCTATCCTACATACATGCTACATATCCCCCTATATTATGGGGATAGGTTAACTTCAAATTCATGGCACTCTTCCTGCTTTAGCTTGTCAATTTTTTTCTCTCTCTCTCTTTCTCTCTCTATTATATATACACTTTCCAGGAGACAGTTCCAGATCTCATTACAGATGGTTGTGAGCCACCATGCAGTTGCTGGGAATTGAACTCAGGACCTCTGGCAGAGCAGTCAGTACTCTTAACCTCTGAGCCATCTCTCCAGCAGGGGATTAAAGATGTGTGAGCCACTGTGGCCTGGCTTATCTGTCAAATTTTCTTATTCCTTTTAAGACGAAGTCTCACATATCCTAGACTGGCCTTGAACTTGCTGTGTAGCAGAGGACAACCTTAAATTCCTGGTCCACCTGCCTCTACCATGAATTACAGGCTTGCGCAGCCACACCCAGTTTTATCCACTCTTTTTTTAAAATTTTATTTATTTGTTTATTTATTTATTTATTTATTTATTTATTTATTTATTTATTTATTTCCACTCTTCTTGTAAAGCACAGGGACCTCTGTGTAGAGTGACGCGAATGGCTGGGGTCTTAGAGCAGTTCTATTTGAAACAACTTTAGCTGCCTCATCAGCGGCCTGTGTAGTTGGATGGGGTGGGATGAAATGGAGCTTCTTTTTTTTTTTCTTTATTATGTATACAGTGCTCTGTCTGTACATCAGAAGAGGGCACCGGATCTCATTATAAATGATCATGAACCACTGTGTGGTTGCTGGGAATTGAACTCATGATCTCTGGAAGATCAGCCAGTGCTCTTAACCCCTGAGTCATCATCTCTCCAGGCCCCCAAAATGGAGTTTCTTGATGGAATATATGAGAGTTGGAGACAACGTAGGAAAAAAAATGCAATATTTGTGTTTTAGACAAATGGCTCAGTGGAAGAAGACTGATTCTTCTTCTAGAGGACGGCGGTCTGATTCCCTGTACTCACATAGCAGCTCACAACCATCTCTGACTCCAGTTCCACGGGATCTGCTGCCCTCTTCAGATATCTGTGGTCACCAAGTACCATGTGGTGCAGACACACATGCAAGTAAAGCACTCGTATTGCAGACACATAAAACAAACAAAGTTAAATATAGTTAAATACAGCAATACTTACTTTTTACCCCCGTCAAGGAAGGAATGTGGTAGTAATAAAAAGGCAAAGCAGGGGCTGCAGCAGCCACCTCCCTCAGGAAACTTATCAGGGCATCTGAAAGAACAAGAGTCACATGAACAAGACTAGAACAATGGCGTTCCTGTATGAGAGCCTGAATCACTGAGGCTGAAGAAATGGCTCAGAGGTTAAAGTGCACTGGCTGCTCTTCCAGAGGACTTGAGTTAAATTTTCAGCAACCACATGATGGCTCACAAGCATCTATGATGAGATCCGGTGCCCTCTTCTGGCCTGTAGGCATACATGCAAGCAGAATACTGTATACATAATAAATAAGTAAATCCTTTTTTTTTTTTTTTAAAGTAAACCATTCAATGAGATGCAGTCATCGTCTCAGAAACTGAAAACTCCTGACTGCCCTTACCATTCTCAACTGTGCGACTGCAATGTCACTTCAGCAAAGTTTTATTTTTTGAGGCCAAAATAAGAGGGCTGGAGAGATGGTCCAGCAATTACAAACACTGGCTGGTCCGCCAGAGGATCTGATCTGGTTTCTACACTCACACAGTGACTCACAACCATCTATTACTCCAGTCTCAGAGGATCTGACGCTGTCTTCTGGTCTCTAAGGGCACCAGACGTACATTGTTGTTCATAGACATACATGCAAACACACATACACACACACATACACAAAAACTAAAAATCATAATTGCTTTGTTTTTCACACTAGTGTATCACACTAATCCACTGTTAAAAAACTGGGCAGGGTAGGGCACACCTTTAATCCCCATCACTCAGACTCAGAAGGCAGTTGGGTGTATGTGAGTTCTAGCCTGATATACATAGCAAGTTCCAGGCTAGCCAGTATTGCATAGTGAGACCCTTTCCCCAAACAAACAAACAAAGAAAAAGAAGAAAGAAAGAAAGAAAAAGAGTAAAAGGTTCCAGGGAGTCTGGAAGATGGTCTAGTCAGTTCTTGTTTCTTTGCTTGTTGAATGAGGACCTGAGTTCAGATCCTTAGAACCCACAGGCACAGCAGTGCACGCCTGTACTTCCTACACTGGGGAAGTAGAGCCAGGTGGATCCTTGAGGACTGCCAGCCGGACTCTGAACTCCAGACCAGTGAGAGAGTAACCCCGTCTCAGTGATTAAGGAAGACATTCTGACTTCCACATAGGCATGCATGCAAGTGTCTCTGCACACATGTGCACACACATGCACACACAAATTGGAGCTGAGGGTGTAGCTCAGTGGTAGGTGTATAAATACTCAAGGGCCTGGGTTTGGTCACCAGCACAAGGGGAGAGGGGTGGGGAAAGCCAGGCACGTACTTCCCCACTATGGAGAGACAATCATTACACATTACTAAGAAAACCAGGGTCCTATCAGGACAGACTCCAGTGTTCTTACCCCAGAAGTGTGACAATGACCAACAGGGACAATTCTACAACAGCAACAGAGAGAAACCTCAGTTTTAAGATGGAGTTATAGCTGGGCCTGGCATTGTAGGCCTGTGATCCCAGCTTCCTGCAAGACTGAGATGAGGCGTTCAGAAGTTCAAGGCCAGGGCCTGGGAGAGGGATCCACAGATAGAAGTACTTGTAACACAACCCCGATGACCTGAGTTTGATCCCTGAGATCCACAGTGGAAGGGAAGAGAACTGAGTCTTAAAAGGACTCGTCTCCTCACCTCCATACTTACCTGTGGCCATGTGCATTCACGTGTGGCATATGCATATCTACACACATACACACACACGCACACATGCATGTATGCGCGCAAACACACACACACACATACAGGCACGCACGTATGCACGCACACACACATAAACAGCCCACCTGGGCAACAAGATTAACTCAGGACCAGCCTGGGTAACTTAGACATTTTCTTAAAAATTTAAACAAGAGAGGGGAGTATAGCTCAGCTGTAGTATGCAGACCAGCACACTTGAGGCCTTGGGTTAAATCCCTTGTGTCAAAAGAGCTTAAAAAAGAAAAGGTCGGCGGTGGTGGCACATGCCTTTAATCCCAATACTTGGGAGGCAAAGGCAGGCGGATCTCAGTGAGTTTGAGGCCGACCTGGTCTACAGAGTGAGTCCCAGAACAGCCAGGACTATCACACAGAGAAACCCTGTCTTGAAAAAGGAAAAAGAGTGGTGGCCCAAACCATAAACACTCAACAGTGATGGACACACTTTCCCTTTTGGGACTGATCCGGACAGAGCAGAAGCGAGCCTCTGGCTGTTAAGGAAGTAGGTTTCCTTTGGTCATCAAGTCAGCTGCACTACTGCAGATGACAGAGTAGACCAGGCTCACACTGTGGATGAGCCCCAAGCGGGAGAGACAATTTCATGTGTCATCTCTTCTCTGCGTACCGCGAAAACATGCTCAGCACTCGGGAAATGCTTCAAATCAAGTTGTTATGAATAATTCATCTCTCTGCTCATTTTTCAGAGAACTGCTTACATAAAAAAATTGCAAAATAGCATGAAAAAATGTCCATTCTAAATTTCCAAACTATCAGTAAATAAATTATTTACCTACACGAGGGATGGTTTTCTATCTGCCAACAGTGGGTGTCATTTCATGACAGTTTATGGATTTAATTATGGTTTTAATCATCTGCACAAATATCTCCCTTTCTCCTCCCTACAAACCAGGATATCATATATCCTAGGATGGCCTCAAACTTCCAATGTAGCTGAAGATGACTTTGAACTTCTGATCTTCCTGTCTTTACCTCTTCAGATCTGGGATTTCAGGCATGCAGAACCTGGGGTCCTAAAGCTTTGTGCATGCTAGGCAAGTACTCTACAAACCACACCGTACCCCAAGTAAAAGGTCATAGTCCCTTATCAGTGGGGATAGGGAGATCAGGAAGCCAACATTTCCTGCTATGTAAAGAGTTCAAAGGCCAGGGGTGGTGGTGCATGCCTCTAATCCCAGCACTCAGGAAGCAGAGGCAGGCAGATCTCAGTGAGTATGAGGCTAGCCTGGTCTACATAGTGAGTTCCAGGACAGCCAGGGCTATATAGAGAGATCCTGTTTCACCCCTTCTCGCCAAATAAACAAACAAGAGTCCAAGGGAAGGTTGGGCTCCTTGAGATACTATCTTAAAAAAATACACACATGTGTACACACACACACACACACACACACACACACACACACACACACTTCCTTATACTTGGACACAAATAGTTCCTACAGAGAAACCATCATAGAAGAAGAAATCCATAGTTCGTTTTGGAAAACACTAGGTTTTTTCTTGGGAGGGGGCAGTGTTTCAAGACAGAGTTTCTCCTTGTAGCCCTGGCTACATACATGGCTAAGCATTACTCACTGGCCGGTCAACCTGACACCCCTAGCCTGACAGAAACTGTGATCAGTTTGGCTCTGTTTCTTATTGTTTACCTCAGGAAGTGCTGTGTGACCCTGAAAGTGTGGTTTATACTCATCCAGAGGCTTTGCTGTAGAGGGGGAAGTAGGAGAGCCGTGTGATGGAGACAGAAGGGTTATGTCGCTGTGTGGAAAGAGACAGATTTCCAGAAAGAGAGTTTTCAAGATGAAGTCAAGGAGAAAGTTACCATTGGAAAGTGCGCATTTTCTTACTTACCCCTTAGATAGAAATGTTGGGCCCTCAAGGATTTTTTTTTTTTTTTTGCATTCCCTGGAGGTGGCCTTGGAGCAGGCTCTCAAAAAGGCCACTGGTGCTTACTTACCTTTGCTCTGTGACTTGAAAAAGAAAGGTGCAATGACAGCAATGCCATCAGCTCCGATTTCTGCTGCATGCTGGGCCTTTACAGGAAGAAAAGACCATAACAGAGTGAGTGATCACAGTCCCTATACCCACCAACAAACTCTAGAGTTCAGCAACAACCTCTCCATATTTGTCGCCCTCTCTAGAGAACAGAAAGATTAAACCATTTAATTAGAACAACGGTTTGCAACCTTCCTAATGCTGTGACCCGATAATAATAATAATAATAATAATAATAATAATAATAATAATAATGTTGGAGTGACCCCCCGACCCATAAAATTGTTTTTGTTGCTACTTCTTAACTGTAATTTTCCTACTGTTATGAATCGTAATGTAAATATCTGTGTTTCCTGCTGGTCTTTGGGTGACCCCAAGGGGTTGAGACTCACAGGTTGAGAACTGCTGAATTAAAACGTCATTCCAGGAATGTCCCAGGTTGCTGGAGAGACACCTGGTGTAGGTAAGCTGAGTGCTTACTTTCATGTTTGCATACCTGTCTCTGGGCCATCTCACTGCCTCTCTGGATTTATTCTCACTCACTGACTTTTTATAAGATTTATTTTATGTGTGTCCATGCATGTACGCAGGCATCCAGAGACCAGAAGAGGTGTCAGGTCCCCCAGAGTTGGGGTTACAGACAGTGGTAAGCCGCCATGTGGGAATCAAACTGGGGTTCTCTGGAAGGCAGTGTCCTTAATCTCTGAATCATCTTTCTGATCACCCAGAATCTATGTTGCTGGCTTTTGTTTTTTTGAGACAGGGTCTCACTATGTAGCCTTGGCTGGCCTGGAGCTCCCATGTAGACCAGATTTGAACTTATATTCCTCCACACTTAGGCTCCCTAGGCTAATCTTTTCACCTTCTGAAAAACAAGGATTATAGGCCCGTGCCACTCTGCGTGGCTACTTGGATTTCTGTCAGGATACACACACAACAAAATCCTACCACGCCACCAAAGACACTTTGCTAAGACACAAGCAGCTCATTTACAACTGTTAACAGAGAAGCCTGCTTGTATAATTTTTCTTCCACTGCTCTGCCTACTCAATGGTATTATCTTTCCCATGGGATGGTATAACAGTCATATTTCAAGTTGACATTACAAATTGGGAATGCAGATGAGAAAGGTTAAGAAGAAAAAGATTATATATATCACGAAAGATACATAGCACCATGCTTTGACAGCTTCTTGAATTCCCCCAGGGAAAAGTATAAAGGACGTTTCTTCTCCTTGGGCATTCATAACACTTTTAAAATATTTTATGAATATAGGCGTTTTGTCTATATGTATGTCTGTGTACCACTGTGTGCCTGTGTAATTTATCTCACTGTGTAGACCCTCTGGTCTGGAATTCACAGAGATCCACCTGTCTCTGCCCCTCAAGTACTGGGACTAAAGGCATCTACTACCTCCTCCTCCTCATTTATTATTATTATTATTATTATTGGTTTTTCAAGACAGGGTTTCTCTGTGTAGCTTTGGAGCCTGTCCTGGAACTCGCTCTGTAGACCAGGCTGGTCTCAAACTCACAGAGATCCGCCTGTCTCTGGAATTAAAGGTGTGCGCCACCACCCAGTTTATCTTTATTACTTTTTAGAAGTCTCTCACTGGACCCAAAGCTCATCCAGTGGGCTGGGCTGGCTGACAACTGAGCTTTAGAGATCTGCTGTCTCCACCCAGCCTAAGGCTAGGGTTGTAGGCACTGTAGCCACACCCATCATTTCACGTGGTTCCCCAGGGTCTAAATTCAGGTTGTCCTGCTTGCTGCACGTGCTTTACCAACTGAGTTGCTTCCCTACCCATCTCTTTAGTTATTTACGAATATTTTACCGCCATTACACATTAAATCCGAATAGTAAGGGAACAAACATTTCACGAAGAACTGGGCTAGACGAAAACCGTGTAATCATGGAGCTAGAGTATCCTGGGGACACAGTCAATGTGCAGGTGTACGGGGACTGGGCCTTCTGATAAACAATTTAAAGCCTCTTTGTACTTTAATTTCTTAATTAATTCGCCCGGCCTCAGAACCATCACCATCTACTTTTGCTTTGTTTTCTCTTGTGTGGCCCGCATTGTCTTCTACCTCCCAATGCCCCAGTTTCAGTCTCTGGGAAGTTAGGATTACAGGTGTGTGCCGCCATGCCTGGCTTCTGTCTAGCTTTTTGCGCAAACCTAGCTCAATCACTAAACCCAGAGTGACCCGAGTCTCTGCATCCTTGATCCTATGTCCTGGCTGAAGACTGTATCTAGACAGTTTTTACAGTTCTGCTGAACAGTGGTCTGATATGTTTCTGGTTTACAACTTTGTTTTTTATATTTGTTTTTTGTTTGTTTTTGGGTTTTTCAAAGGGTTTCTCTGTGTAGCCCTGGGTGTCCTGGAACTCGATCTGTAGACCAGGCTGCTCTTGAACTCACAGAGATCCTCCTGCCTCTGCCCTCTGAGTGCTGGGAAGAGGCATGCACTACCACCACTGGCTTTGAACCTCTAAAAGAAACATTCTCCAGGATAGCCCCACGGCCTATTCCCTTTCTGTCCAGCAGATGGCGATGCCTCTCATTCCCCAGAGAAGACTGATGCTGGCTTAAGTTCTGCATTTACAGCCAACCTCAGCTCTATTTGAGAGAAGTTCCCTTGTCTCTTGTCTTCCAGTTGCCATTTCTTTTGAGCTACTGCCTTTCCATGGCCCCGTGCCTGCTTCAGCAGTCCCACACTTGATCTCTTCCAGCCAAATATAGGACTGGTTTGAATTCTAGCATAAGAATGAAGGCCCCTTGAATATCCATACCAGTTCTTGTGACTCTTTCAAGCTTAGTGCTCCCACGTGAATTACCACCTGGTCCAACCTGCGAGAGAGAAGCAGTGTGAACCGCCCGGAGTTTAGAAGAACACAGAACGGCTGCACCATCCTGTTGTGCTGGCTTAATAGCCTCAAGACTAATACAACAGTTGAATCAATTCTATCATGGTTCTTGGGACCCACAACATGAAACAAGAGAACCCATTCCCCAAAGTCGTCCTTTGACCTCTATCCACATGCCATGGCACAGGAGTTTATGTACATGTATGTGTATGCCATGTATATATACATACAGTATAATAAAAAAATCAAAACAAACACAAAACTAAACAACAAAAACTCCAAACCCCACTGCTAGGCAAGAATAAATGAAAACAGGGCCTAGTGGCACAGGTCTGTGAGCTCTGATACTTGGAAAGCGGAGGCAGGAGGACCTCAAATTCAAGGCCAACCTGGGGAACTTACTAAAACCTTGTCTTCAAATCATAACAAAATTAAAAATACATTATGTAATACTCTCAAGGAATTTTAAAAAATATTATTTAAAAACTAAAAAGTAGGCAAGAATAAATAAAAATAGGTCCTAGTGGCACCAGGTCTATAATTAATTCCCAACAACCACAGGAGGATCACAAGTTCAAGTAAACCTTGTGAAGTTATGGAGACCCTTATCTCAAAATGAAAAATACAAAAGTCCAGAGATATCTGAGCTAGAGCTCAGGAGAACGGCGCTGGCCTAACGTGCAGGAAGCAGCTCTGGATTCGATCCCTGGCAGTGCAGTTTTAAAAAGTGCATGAAGATATTTTCTGTGCTCATTTAGCAGATAAACTGGCCCGAGGAGGAAGTTATTTTAGGGCTAGAGAGATGGGTCAGCATTTAAAAGCACTTGGCAGCTCTTTCAGAGGAGCCAGGTTTGATTCTCAGTACACACATGGTGACCCAGGGACATTCAATAATCCTGTATGTGTACCGGGGGTGGTATTGAACTCCAGTTGTTAGGCTTGTATGGTCATGGGTTTCATCACAGCCATAGAAACCATATCCCTTGACAGAGGGATGATATACACGCTAGCAAGTCACCTTCCCCTTCTCTCTCTCTCCCAGTCCAAGGACAGGAACCTGGAGAAGACTTGCCTTCAAGGTGGATGAGAGACAGTTTATGAAAGGGGGCAGGTGTGCTCTGTGGTCTGGCTACCCTTCCATGGAGAAGGGAAGGCTGCTTCTCGCCATGTGTGGGAGGCTCAGAGCCCCTGATCTTGCCCCGCAGCTGACGGGGAGGTGGCAGGGCTCGGACAACGGGAAAAGCCTTGCTCCGTCTAGACCTTGCCCATGGACTGCATCTCATCCCAGCAGTTACTCACTTGTTCCTTCCCTGTGTCACCCATTCTGCTGCCACCTGGCGACGCTCAGAGACACTCAGGGACAGGCCTTCTCCCGTGGTGCCATTCACTGTTGCAAACAAAGAGGTCAGTCAGTGGGACCAGTCAGTGCCTTTTGTTCTTCCAACCCTGAGTCTGGAGGTGGAGGGTAGGAAACCCCTGCTTGAGAGGAAATGGCACACTGAATAAACAGAGGATGGAGCCTGGAGCGGGAAGTGCCTCTTGGCCATTTTTACCTAAGACTTGGTCTTGCATGCATGCCTGTAGGCCAGAAGAGGGCACCAGATCTCATTATTAGATGGGTGTGAGCCACCATGTGGTTACCAGGGACTGAACTCAGGACCTCTGGAGCCTCGTGGGCTTTCTTTCTACCTTTATCTTATCAAAGATAATGGGGAGGCCAAGCTGTGACATGTACTGATGTGGGTGCTGGGAATCAAACCAGGTCCTTTACAAGGAGAGCAAGAGTCTTAACCACTGAGTTACCTCTCCAGGTCTTTAGATAGGGTTTCTCTGTGTAGCCCTGGCTGTCCTGGAACTTGCTTTGTAGACCAGGCTGGCCCTGAAATCAGAGATCCACACCTCTACCTCTCAAGTGCTGGCACTAAAGGCATGCCAGCTACAGTATCACTTAAGCAGGCTTTGCTGTTATTCTACTGCCTTTTGGTTTCATGATCTCAAGAATCTCTATGCTAGAGAGTTTTGTCTCTAAATGGGGATAAAAACAGTATGCTTGTTGCACACTGTCAAATGAGATACGCCCAAGGAATCTGCAGACCTAGTATTATGGAGTCTATACACTCAGAACATTTAGTTATCCCAGCAGGTTCCACTATAACCTCTGACACATGCCCAGAGGTCCTGGTCAGGTGAGGTCTACTACTAGCTAAGACTTGAGCTAAATACATACAGAGAATTCACGAGGTGACTTACCAAAAATGTTCTTCACGCCCTGTTCTTTAACCAGGTAATCCACATACTGACCAATTACAGGAAAGTTGATTTCTCTGAAAGACAAGAAAAATAAGTAAGAATGTCTTTTTTAGGTGATTATTCAACCAGTTCACCGCTTAAGAACTGTTCATATTAATAATTATTAAAAATCTACTGCAGGGCCGGGCGGTGGTGGCACACGCCTTTAATCCCAGCACTTGGGAGGCAGAGGCAGGCAGATCTCTGTGAGTTCGAGGCCAGCCTGGTCTACAAGAGCTAGTTCCAGGACAGGAACCAAAAACTACGGAGAAACCCTGTCTCGAAAATTAAAAAAAAAAAATCTGCAGGGTTGTGTACATAGCTCAGTAGATAGCGTGCCTAGCATGTACCAGACATCAACTGGTGGTAGTGATAATGATGTATATATACAAGTGTGTGTGTGTGTGTGTGTGAGAGAGAGAGAGAGAGAGAGAGAGACTGACAGACAGACAGATAGACAGACAGACAGATAGACAACATGTGTATAGAGGTCAGAGGAAAACTTTTGGGGAGTCTATTCTTTCTGTCCATCATGTGGGTTCTAGGGACTGAACCAAATCATCAGGTTTGGGGATGTCGTAAACACCTTTACCCACAGAGCCATCTCAGCAGCCTGGTACCCTTCCCTTTGTTTTCAGGAGAAACCTTCTTGTGCAAGGCAAGCATTCCCAGAGGCGCTTCCGCCACTTTAATCCTTTCATAAGTGCCCCATGACTGTGAGCTCAGCGTGCCTCCAGATGGTTCTCCCATCTTTTCTTGTAAAATTATGACCTGGGACTACAGTGATGGTTCAGTGGGTAAGAACACTTGTTGCTTTTGCAGAAGACCCAGGTTTGATTCCAGCACCCACATCGTGGTTTACAATCGTCTGAAACTCTAGTTCCAGAGGACCCGATACCCTGCTCCTAGGGCAACAGCCATGCACGTGATGCACATACACACATACAGGCAAATACATACAACAGCCATGCATGTGGTGCATATACATACATACAGGCACAACACCCGGACATATAAACTAGAAAGAAACAAATCGTTTTTTAAAAACAGTATGACCTTTAGCTGAGAATGCTCAGGAGTGACCTCTTAACTTGATCCCAGGGCTGAATCTGTCTAGACTCCCTAACCAAACACCTATGCTTCCTTTGTTGGGGAGAACATGGTTTTGGAAATAACGCCCATATTCTCTTTGTCTTCACTTTTTCATGTCTTAGCTGAGCTCTCTCAAGTAAGATGTGAATCCACTATGTCTACCTGGACGGTCTCATGTAGCTCAGGATGGCCTCTCCCTGTGTAGCTGCAGCAGGCTTTGAACTCCTGATATTCCTGTCTCAGCTTCTAAAGTCCTGACATTGCAAGTCTGGTCTCCAACAACTGGCTGGCACTTTAGTGAACTCCCACGTGCTCTGCCTGCACTGTTCAGTCTGAAGCAAAATGACCTTGTGAAGATCTGACGCTAAAGGGTGCTTCCCTTTAAAGTCACATCAATTCAAAGATTCGTGAGTGGGCTCCAAAACTGCATGAAATGACCTACCACTATGGAAAATTAAGGTGGCACGGGGCAATGGTGGTGGATAGCTTTAATCCCAGTACTCGGGAAGTAGAGGCAGGCGAATCTTTAAGTTTGAGGCCAGCCTGATCTACAGAGTGAGTTCCAGGACAGCCAGAGCTACACAGAGAGACACTGTCTCAAAAAAAGCAAAAACAAAAACAAAACCCAAAACAACAACAACAACAAAACAAAAAAACAAGGCGCTGGAGAGATGGCTTAGAGGTTAAGAGCACTGGTTCAATTCTCAGCACCCACATGGCAGCTCACAACTGTCTGAAACTTTATTCTAGGGGATCTGGTTCCCTTGCATGGACATACCTGTAGGGAAAACATAATGCACATAAAATAATAATAAATAAATTATAAAAGATAACTCATTAAAACCAAAACCAAACCAAACCAAACCAAAAAAGAAAAGAAAAAAAAAAAAAAAAGAAAAATTGATCCGGGAAGGATGGATGACTGAAGAGTAAAAACTCAAAGGAAAGCAGCGTGGCGAGTCTGGGTTTACTGATGCAGAACCATGGTTACACTGCCAAGAACACAGAGAACTTAGCAGGCTGTCATTTGCGCTTTTGTGCAGAAGGACTGAAGCTGCCTAATTTGTATTTAGCCTTATTACCATTCTTTTCATCTTTACTTATTCTATTCCTTAAACAACAATAAAAAAAAAATCTGGTGCACCTAGATAGCAGACATCAAAGGGACTAGAAACAAAGAAAGAGGAGAAAATTCGGCGATTTTGAGTTTGAAAGGAAAAGATACTGAAAGCAAGGATTGCAGACACAGAGACTGCCTACAGGGGTGAGGGGTGCTTAGGGGGAGTTTTAAGGCCATGAGGGGAAGGCTTTCTGCTGTGGTTCGGGCCCCAACATCACAGCGCTGCCTGCTCTCTGCCCCAGTGCTCCGTGCACACAAACACATGCTGACGTGGGTGGGTACTCACGGCTACTTTGTTTTCAGGCCTGCGATAGTCTGTAACTTCGCCATTAGGAGGCTGTGTATATAATTAACTAAAACCCGAAAGCTATGACTAAGTTAAGAATTAAGGGAGGTTGGGAAGAAGCTGTGGGGTGGGATGTCTGGGGGAGAACCTGCCTCCTCAGTTCCTCCCACTCTTCTGGGAGCTGCCACCTGTCTGGGTCTGTCTGGGCACGCTGTACCCTCAGTCAGAGGTAGGAAGGTGAAACTCAAGCTCCTTCTCCTTCCTCGGTGAACTTCACATGTGCTTTTTTGTTTTTTATTTATTCTGTTTTATTATGCTTGGCCTCAGGGGAAAGGGTTTCCACCCATACTCTCCCCCTTCCCTGCCACACTCCTTCAGGCTGCGCTGGGTGTCAATTCTACTCAGGCTCATAGGAGCTGTATTATCTATTTTTTAAAGAAACGCCTTTAGGAATGGCGCTAATGCTGGAATTTCTAGGGCAATGGAAGAATCATCTAGAAAAAGTTCTCCGCCTGTGCCCCTTTGGAACTACGGCACAGGCTGAAAAGGGGCAGACTTTAGAACACCGTCTATCTGACTGTCACATGTTAAAATTTCTTTCACATAGGAAAAGACTTTTGGGCTGGGGACTTTGGTGACACATTTGCCCTGCAAGCACAAGGACCCAAGCCTAGTGCATAGAACTCAGATAAAAATATACCAAAAAATATTTCCTGACAGGCAGCAGATCCCGGGGCTCACAGGCCTGCCAGCCTAGCCTACTTGGGGAGCTCCAGGCTACTGACTGTTTCAAAAAATAAGACAGATGGCATGGGAGGAACAATATTTTGAGTTTTTTCTGCCTTCTACACGCACACACACGTGATCGTGTGTGTCCACAAACGACTAAAAAGTCATATATCTAATAAGGCTTTTTTTTTTCTTTTGTTTTTTTGGAGACAGGGTCTCACTATGTAGCCCTGACTATCCTAGACAAAGCCTCTCTACATAGCCCTGGCTGTCCGGAACTATGGAGATTCTTCCCCTAGTGTGTTGAGATTAAAGGCCTGAGGCACCACATCTGGCTAAGGCTAACTTCTCAAAATAGGAAGGCCAGCCCTGCACTGTTAAAGGCCCCATGTCCTGCCAGCTACTTCAGAGCTTGCGATCTCTGCCTGACACTTGCTGTAGGTGGTTATTTGCGACTCTTGACCGAGACATTCAGTAGCTCACTCACCAATGGACCCAGGGCCTGTAAGGTGGCGCAGCAGAAAAAGCTACTTGCCACGCTCTGGCATCTGACAGTGAAAATGCAACTTTTTCTTGATATTTTGGCCTCCCTCCCCCCTCCAGTTTACTGCATTGTCCAGTTTGAAATGATCTTGTCTGAGTCTCCTAAGGAGCTAGGACCACAGGTACGCATTAGTGTACCCAAATAAAATTTCTTCAGCTATGAAATAGAGCTACAGGTCCCCGGTCCCCGGTGGAGGTGTCAGATGAAACTGGACTGCACGGATAAAATGCCCATCATGATGACTGACATGCAATGTTTGTTCAGTCAAACACTGACTTCCTTTCTCCAACAGTCACATTAGTTATCCCTGTGGCACATTCCCTGATAAAATGACAAGTCGACTCTGTTAGATGCTGAACATATAAAGATAAATAAGACACACGTTTGGTCATTGTATGATGCCCACCCTAAGGTAAAACAGCTCAAATCCTGCTGGAAAAATGCAGGCACAAAACAATCAAACGTTATCGTGGGTTGCAAGATGGCTCAGTGGGTAATGGCACTTAAGGCCAAGCCTGACAACCCGAGTTCAACCCCTGGGATCTCCATGGTGGGAGGAAAGAACTGGCGGCCACAAGTTGTCTTCTGACCTTCATGTGTGTACCGTGGCACATGTACCCCCATACAGATATAAAATAAAGAAGTTATGATAAAAGTCATCATAAAACAGATGCATTTGATGCAATATAAAAAGGTATACACAGAGTACCACAGGGGGGTCACACAGGAGGGAGCCTCTACCCTTTTCTTCTCTTTTTTTAAAGAAAAAAATGGGAAAAATTGCTAAGGATGGGTTGGGGCTTGAGAAATGATACCCCAGCTTATGATGCTTAGTACACTAAGAGCTTTGAACTAAATAGTTAAAAGTCCTCATAATCCGCTGGGGGGTGGTGGTACACGCTTTTAATCCTAGCGCTCAGGAGGCAGAGGCAGAGGAGTTTGAGGCCAGCCTGGTCTATAGAGTGAGTTCCAGGACAGGCTCCAATGCTACAGAGAAACCCTGTCTCGATAAACAAAAACAAAGCAAAACAAACCCCCTGAGAATCAGGGACTTTCTGACCTGCTGTTGCTTCTCCTGGGTGCAGGGTGGATCACTCTTGGAAATTCTCTTACTGGACATCCCTCCAGAGGGACAATTGCTGTCCTATGTCCTCCTGAAACCTTACCTAGAGGTAATCACCTGCGGTGACTAGGAATGTCACCATGCCAGGACAATCTTTCCAGAGAACCATTTACAAACTACTGTTTACTCTGGGCGTGGGTATTTCCCTCTAAAAGCGCCTGCAGTCCTCCCACCCCCCACTCACTAAAGAGGATGCTCAAACCTAACCCAAGTTGTCTCTTTAGTGTTGTGTTTGGCATGGTTGCCATTCCCAGGCCTGGCGAATGAGTGTTGTATCTTCACCCATCTATTGTTAGTGTGTTTCAGTGAAGGGGAAGATGAACTCTTCAGAGGGGGAGGAGGAAAAGAAATTCCTCCCTTTCACTCCTGCAAACATTTGGACGGGTAAGCTGATATGTTAAGGAGAAGGTGTCAGTGGAAAAAGTCGAGAAAGCAGAATGAGACAAGGTACGGAATCTGGGAAGAAAGAGAGGATGTGATGCTGTTTGGGGAAACAAACAAAGCCAGAAATGAAAGGCAGCTTGTGCAGGACTCCTGTGTCTCTGGGAGTCTGGCTTTCAGCTGCAGGCTAGTTCATCTTCAGGCTCTAACGAACCACCATTAGAAGGCAGGTTCTGACTGTGGGATGTGGCAGGGCCCAAGGCCTGAGATCCTATCAGGTTCCTGTGTGGTACTGGAATAACTGGTCCAAGGACCGTACAGTGAGAAGTAAGGCTTTGGAAGAGGAGAGACAACCGGCTCCAGGAGAGGGGAATGATCTGCCAGATTTACTTACGAGGATGCTCACTAGGCTGCAGGGTGGAGACGGACTGGTGTGGCTAGAACTTTGAAGTCTTACCGAATTGTGAAGCCCACAGAGTCACTAATGGTGTCAGAACAGAGTACTGTAGACACTCAAGCACCAGAGTGCTTTAGGGCTGAAGTCTTCCTTTGCAGGACGTGAAGGACAGCTTGTCTTTATCTTTGTGTGTGTCCTTGTGTTTGGGTGTGTTCACGTGTGACAGAGCGTGTGCAGGTCGGAGGATAGCCTCAGCTAGCAGTCCTCACTTGGTACCTTGGTTCAGACAGGGTCTTTTGTTTGCTGCTGTGTAATCCAGGTTAGATAGCTCTAGAACTTCCCAGAATCCCTCTGGCTTTATCTACTGTCTGGGGATTACAGACAAGGGCTACCATGCCTGTTTTTTATGTGGGTCCTGGGGATTTAAGCTCGACCCATTGGGTCATTTTGCTAGCCCAAGGACAGTTTTTTTTAAGGCTTATTTATTATTTTTTCAGGGTGTGAATGTTTTAGTTGGATGTATGTTTGTATACTATGTGAGCACCTAATAGCTGAGAAGTCCAGAAGAGAGCACAATAGAACTGGAGTTAGGAGTTAAGGACCCTTGAATGTCAACATGTGGTGCTGGGCCCTTTACATGGGCTGCAAGTTCTCTGAATCACTCAGCCGTCTATCAAGGACTGAGTGACAACTCTTAAAGGCAAGGTAGCTCCTTGATATAAACCTGGAAGATACTTTGTGGGGGAGGGTCAGGGTTTCCTTGTGTAACCCTGGCTGTCCTGGAACTTGTTCTGTAGTCCAGGCTGTCCTGGAACTCAGGGAGCTGCCTGCCTCTGCCTCCTGAGTGCTGGGATTAAGGGCATGCGGCACCAGTGGCACTGGCAGATACTTTAAAGAAAACTCGTCTATGTAGTTTTTTGTTTTCCCCTTCTAATTTCCCTATTCTAGGATACCATCTTATATAAGAGCCAAATTATTAGCATTTATGAGATTAAGAAGAAAAAAAAGGCTGGGCATGGTTTTGCACACCTTTAATCCCAGCACTTGGGAGGCAGAGGCAGGTGCATGGTTATGTATGGGGTAGGGCCATTATCTGACCATGCAGGCCAAGAGGCTGCCCTAGTCTTTATCTCTGTGAGTTCAAGGATATCCTGATCCAAAAATCAAGTTCCAGAACAGCCAAGGTTATTCATATGTGTGTGTGTGTGTGTGTGCGCGCGCGCGCATGCATGCAATAGTTTGTATTCAGTTACTTGGCATCATGGAGCTGTGGTTTTCTGTTGCAGTTCTGAAACACTGCCACAATGCCACATGACCTGGGCGAACTACTACATTCCATGTGCCTTTTCTTTCCATCCAGTGTTTTGGAAACAATGTCAGAAGGCCAGCTTTTACTGTGGCTAAACAGGTTAATGTCCACTTGTTCTTGGGTATCTAAAGCACTTTGTGTATACAGGAGTGGCTTTCTTTGTTTTAATTGTCTTTTAGATTGGTTTTAGATTGGTTTAATGTGTACGGGTGTTTTGTCTGCATGTAAGTCAGTGCACCATGTGCATGCCCGGTGCCCTCAAAGGCCAGAAGAGGGCATCAGATGACTGGATAGATGACTGTAAGCTACTATGTGGGTGCTGGGACTTGAACCCAGATCCTTTGGAACAGTAGGCAGTGTCTGAACCACTGAGCCATCTCTTCAGTCTAAGAGTATTTTGATGGGACAAGTGATGAGAGAAAACAGAGTTAACATAGCTCAGGCTGCCCCTGCCCTCACTGAGTGGTTAATTTACTTGCCTTCAACAAATTCTCATAGTAGTGAGTTTGCAGGTGTGTACAACACCCCTAGATTTCAGAGACCTGTTAGTCACCTCTAATACTCTGGGTCTGTGATTCCAGGGAACAGCAGAGTAGGGAAGGCCACACAGCCGCTCTCAGTGTGTCCCAGATGAAAAGGCTGCTTGGTAAAGCCATCTCAGAGGTTAACACAGCAAGGACAAGAGGGAATGTGCTGAGCTAAGTTTCAGACAGGATCTGACTCTGTAGCCGGAAGCAAGTCCAGCCTGCTCATGTAGTCACATGGCTACTGCTTATCTACCCAACCAGTAGCTGAAACTGAAAAACAGCTGACTTCAGTCTTTCCCAGAAATTGTGGAAAAGGAGAAGTAACAGGGGGGGAAAAAAAAAGACTATTAGCCAACAGAGTGATCTAAATAATATGTCAGCAAGTTAAGTTCCAGGAAGGATGGGAGTTTTTCAGAGAGTCTTGGGCTCGAGATAGCTAAGGAATACGTGACATTCAAAGTTCTAAAAAGGTTACAAATTCGGGAACAGAACTCCCCCCAAAACGGCCTTTAGGAAGAGTACTAGTTGGCACATCTTCCTCTTATCCTTGTCTCTGGTCACAGTAACAGCTCAAGCTGTTGCCCTAAGTGCAGAGACAAAGCACTGTTCTAAGGATTATCTTACGTAACGCTTATCATTCTGTAGGTATGGGGTAAGTTTCTTTTCTTACAAGAGGAGGAAGCTTAAAGGTGGCAAATTCACCTCTGATGGGTCAATAACATTCAGCACAAGGAAGTGGCTGCTCCCCTTGTGTCAAGTGTCCAAGGAGGAGCATAGTCATGTATGATGCATGGTCATGTATGATGCATGGTCATATACAAGTGTATGGTCATGTGTGGTGCATAGTCATGTATGGTGGGGCATGGTCATGTATGGTGTGTGGTCATGTATGGTGCATGGTCATATACAAGTGTATGGTCATGTGTGGTGCATAGTCATGTATAGTGGGGCATGGTCATGTATGGTGGGGCACGGTCATGTATGGTGTGTGGTCATGTATGGTGCATGGTCATATACAAGTGTATGGTCATGTGTGGTGCATAGTCATGTATGGTGGGGCATGGTTATGTATGGTGGGGCACGGTCATGTATGGTGTGTGGTCATGTATGGTGCATGGTCATATACAAGTGTATGGTCATGTGTGGTGCATAGTCATGTATGGTGGGGCATGGTTATGTATGGTGGGGCATGGTCATGCATGGTACATGGTCATGTATGGTACATGGTCATGCATGGTGCGTGGTCATGCATGGTGCGTGGTCATGTATGGGGTACGGCCAAAGAAACAAAACCAAGCTGGGTGGTGATGGTGTGCACCTTTGACCCCAGCACTCGGGAGGCAGAGCAGGGAATCTATGAATTTGAGGCCAGCCTGGTCTACAGAGTTAGTTCTAAGGCAGCAGAAGATACCCAGAGAAACAGTGTCTCAAAAACCTAACAAAACAAACAAACAAAAAAAAATCAAAACCATAATTACTGATTGCTGTGGGGAGGATCAGCCCACTGTGGGTGGTGACATCCTGGGCAGGTGGTTCTGGGGTGATATACGAAAGGCTGAGCAGGCCAGGGGGAATTAAGTCAGTAAATAGTACCCCTCCATGACCTAGGCATCAGCTCCTGTCCTGTTTGAGTTCCTGCCTGACTGCCTTTGATGACGACTGGCGATATGGAGTATAAGCGAAACCCCAGGTTAGTATTGTAAAATACGCTTACAACATAGAAACACCCAGAGCAACTAGAGGAGAATGTAAAAATTAGAGCTGAATTACATTGGTGGGGAGACTTTAGAGCAGAGAGAGGGTGGACCAAGGAAAACACCTTCTGGGAGGCCTTCTCTTTTAGCTACATAAAGTTGGGGAAACTCCAGATCTCAAGAGTAGAAGTAAAAGTTAAAACTGCTTTTGGTAACCAAGATAACGTGTATGAACGTGCTTTGGTTTCTTTGTGGCACGTGTGTGTGCTGATGGATGTGTGTAATGTGGAGTGGATGTGTTTTTGAGTATACATGCATACGGGCACATGTTTACATGTGCAGACCACCCCAGAGGTGCAGCGACTCCTGGAGCTTCTGACCTTTTCAGTGGATGGGAACAGGACCCACTGTGCCCCTGCCCTTCCCTGCCCCCCAATAGTTACCCATTCTCGGTCATTGGGGTGAGGGTGGCAGCAACAAGACCCCGGAGTTTCTTCTTAGGGAAGGCCATGGAGCTTCTGGAAGGGCTGGAAAACACAGTGTCATTCTCTTTCTTCAAGGAATGTCAATTAATGACCAAACTCCCAGGCCAAAGTTCAATCCCAGGTTAGTATTGTAAAATACGCTTACAACATAGAAACACCCAGAGCAAGTAGAAGAGTAAAAAATTAGAGCTGAATTACATTGGTGGGGAGACTTTAGAGCAGAGAGAGGGTAGACCTAGGAAAACACCTTTTGGGAGGCCTTCTCTTTTAGCTACATAAAGTTGGGGAAACTCCAGATCTCAAGAGTAGAAGTAAAAGTAAAACCCAGCAGACCCAGGACCAGAGCTGCAACTTCACTCTGGGGCCTCAAACACATGAGAAATTGCTATTAAACTGGAGATAGTCAGAAAGAAGGCCTTTTCTTCTCCATATCTTACGGGGGAATCCCAACAAAACCTAGCACTTAAGGGTTGAGTGAATCACAATTAACTAGCCAGATGGTGGTGGCGGCGCACGCCTTTAATCCCAACACTCAAGAGGTAGAGGCAGGCGCATCTCTGTGAGTTTGAGGCCAGCCTGGTCTACAGAGCAAGTGCCAGGCCAGACTCCAAAGCTATACAGAGAAACCTTGACTTGAAAAGAAAAAAAGAATATTAACTATCATCCAATTAACCTATGCATCCTTTGATATTCTAAATTTGATTTTTTTTGGTCTCTTTTTTTTAACAGTTATTTATTGTGGATGTGCCTAGGTATATGAGCACACATATACCACAATACACGTGCAGAGGTCAGAGGGCAACTTTGGGAACCCGTTCATTCTTTTCCCCATGTGGATTTCTGGTTGTCAGGCTTGGCATCAAGCTGCGGATCCTTTGCTTTTTTTTTTTTTTTTTTTTTTTTTTTNTTTTTTTTTTTTTTTTTTTTTTTTTTTTTTTGTAAGTCCTGCTGGCCTCCAATTCACTATGCAGCTGAGGGTGACCTTAAACTCCTGCTCTTCCTGTCTCTCTGGGATTACTGGTGTGTGTCACCATGCTGTGTCCAGATTACGACCCCCAGAGAGAGACCACCAGAGAGGCCCAGACTGTAATAAGAAGCAAGGTTTAATCAGCATAATACAAACATGTTTGGAACTCCTCTCCGTCCCCGTTACAATGAGGTAGAGAGGAGTTGTATCTCCTCTGTGGGGTGAGCTTTTAAAGGCATAACTACAAAGAGAATCTTTGAGCAAGGACTTTTGCTCCCTTCCATTCTGCTAAGTCAGCTTTTTCCTTGTTCTTAGAGCAAGGCCACTGTTCCTGAGTTAGTCCGTCTAGGTGCTGGCTGGGCTAAGCTAAGTGACCTTGTGCTCGGAATCTCCCAGGTGGGAGAGGGGAAGGCCACTATTTTCCTGGGAAAATATTCTGTTAGGAAATTTCTTCTCGCCCCTTTGAGAATAAGGGGTGAGAGTCCTACAACCATACCCATCTCTTCTCGCAAACCGTGCATTACAGGCATGTGCCAACACACTTATTTTTCTGTGGTTCAGGATGAAACCCAGCTTTTTGTGCATGGAAGGCACTTAGCCAATTAAGCCACACGCTCGTTAACACCTGGTTTTCAATTCCTGTCTGATGATGTGGGAGACTGAAGGAGCTCTTCTCATTGCACCTGACGAAGCTCTCCGACAGGGACTCACTGGAGCGAGCAACCTCGTTTCATTCATTCATCTGGATCCGGCGGGCCTTCCCATCGGGCAGAGTGAACCTATCTAGATTAATGCAGACCTAACAGAGCAAATGGGTATCCTGGGAAAGAGCCGGGATCCAGGCAAATCACAATGCATCCGGCACACCTACAATGATGGTAACTCAGGATACCCAGAGTGAGCCGGCCAGTCCTAATCTCTCAAGTTCTTCCCTTTCCTTCCATGAGAGCAGAGACAGGGTAGCTCTGGAGTCAGACACCAAGGGCCCGCGGCTTGGCGCTACCTTTATGTCTCTATGCTTCTTTATCCTTCTGTAATGAGGATGATAGTAACCATAGTTCATAGGGTAAAATGAACAAACTGACACAACACGCGTGATGTGCTAGGCCCATGGTCAGGGAAGCACAGGCTCATTGTTCTCCATGAAGCCCTATCCAGTGGGAACAGTTATCTGGGCTAGTGACTCCTCCCGAGCACTCAGCACTTTAGTTTATTGAGGTTCTGAGTCATTTAAACTCTGCTATCTTCTTACCTGGGGCTTCCTTCCTCTCCCTATCCTTCTCATGGCTTACCCCATGCTACTTTTTATCTGGATCCGTGGTCATTGACCTAGGTCCAAGAGGACCTTCACGAGACAAGAACATTACAAAGATAAGAAAGCCAAGCGCTTGAGCCAGCCACCATTGAGCATCCTTGATAAAACGGTCTGCTCTGGCTACGTAGACGTTCGTGTTCTTCTGCTTCGCGCTGCACTTAGTTCACGTTTAACAACAACATTCTTTAAGTTCCGATTGGCAGCCTTATGTGTCTTTGAGAGCTATTAAATTAGTAACCACTTAGATGTGGTTTGAGTGGTTAAAAACGTGGGGCCTGCGGGAGACAAAAACGAGGGCTGGGAACCACTGAGAAACCCCCAGAACACCCGTATTTCTAATCTTGTCTCTGTCCTATTCAGAAGACGTCAGCTTCCCGGCCTGCCTGGAAGGTTTCCTCATGCCTGCAGTGTACCAGCCTACTGCTCGAACCCATTCCTGTGGCTGCCACTGGCCTTCCCCTGAGGCTTGTCACCGCTTCACAGCCTCTGTCTCCCACCTCAACCCTTTCAGTGTAGCCCCATTTTTAAACTCACTTTAAGAGTCAGGAAATTGCCGTACATCCAAGGACCAGCACCTGGGAGGTGGAGATAGGAAGGTCAGGAGTTCAAATCCATCTGTGGCTACTTAGTGAGTGGAAACCAGCCTGGGTTTTGTAAGGCCCAGTTTCAAGGGCATAAAAATCAAAACAAAACAAAAATCAGAGGATTCATCCAGGCAGGGTGACTGATCCCAACACTTGGGAGGCAGGCAGGAAGACCTGTGAGTTCCAGGTCAGCCAGGGCTACACAACAAAGAGAACTTGTGAAGTGAAAGAAAAAGATACCTTGATCCAAGCTGGAAATTAATTAGCTTCAGAACTTCCCTGAAGAGTTGTTTTTCATTAAAAAAAAAACCTCACAGAAGCCGGGCATGATGGTGCACACCTTTAGTCCCAGCACTTGGGAGACAGAGGCAGGTGGATCTCTAAGTTTGAGGCCAGCTTGGTCAATCAAGTAAATTGCAGGACAGCCAGGCTACACAGAGAAACTCTGTCTCGTAAAACACAAAACAAACAACCTCACAGACTTATAAACCGGATGCACGTTTATTCCTGTCCAAGACTGCAAGTCACCTGAGGCAGGAGGATCAGTCTGAGGTCAGCTTGAGACACTGTCTCAAGGAGACAAAACCCCAGCCGGGTCTAGTTACAGGTGCCATTAATCTCAGCGCTCAGGAGGCAGAGTCAAGCAGATCTCTGTGAGTTCAAGGCCAGCCTGGTCTACAGAGAAAGTTTTTAGAACAACCAGGGCTACATAGAGAGACCCTGTTTCAAGTGCCACCCCCCCATCCCAACAAAACAAAAACAAGCTTTAATAATGAATAATCAGTATTTTTAAAATACAAAAACTTTAAGAACTTGGGAATGTTACTCTCTAAAATTCTTTATAGTTTGAATTAAGAGCAAACGATCACAATGTTCTTACAGCCATGACTTAAAGGAATTTGGACAGTTCTTGTTGAACCGGGGAAGTACCCTGGAATCCTCACAGCTGCATCCACGCCTAGGAACACCAGAGCAGAGAAGCCAGAGCTCTTTTTAAAACAGCACAGTTTAAAAAGGAGCCGGGGCATTTGCTGTACCTCTGAACAAGAATGACTTGAGAAATATTTGACAAACTAGAAATTTGGATATTGAAAAACACAAAGCAAGAAGCCAAAAAAAAAAAAAAAAAAAAAAAAAAAAAAAAAAAAAGCAACCTCTCCTAAAACGAGATAGGTATATTAGAGTCAATGGTTAAATTCTCTTCTGTTCAAAGGCTAAATGACCGATTCAGAAGAGGGATCCTGGAGGCCGGGCTATTCCGGGTCTGCAAAGAATCCCGAGTGTCACTGCCTCTAGGCGGTAGGGACACCCACACAGTCCCTGAGCTCCCCCGTCCAGCGTACCTACCTCTGCTCCTCCGGTTGGCGCCAAGCTCACTTTGGCCACCCTGTTGCTCCTGTGCACGGGGGACACGGTTTCCACTGAGCCAAGCTGTTGCACTTTTCGTTCAGGGGCTGCGGGACCACGTGCGGCCGCGAGGGGAGCCTGGGGGTTGTAGTTCCAGGTCTGGCCCTGGGGCCGCTCTTCCACTGGTTTGAATCCCTAGGCTGGGCACTAGTTGCTCCTCCCTGGGTGTGGCCTGAGCCTGCCCCTCATAAGCACCTACCCTGCTACGCCTGAATCCTAGAGTTCCTCCTGTCTAGGAGCTGTAAGAAAAAGTCTTGGTGGCACTGGAAGTGAGATTTGAGACGTTGTGTCACGAGCCTGCAAAACGTCACAGCCGCTCAGCCGGCACTTGGCTCTCTCCAAGCTGATGCTGGTGCCCCAACCCGGCACTCTCTCCGAGACAAAAAGGAGAAGTGAGAAGATTTTAAGAGTGGATTATAGGTCGATTGTGGTTGTGCACGATTTTAATCCCTGCACTGGGAGACAGAGACAGGCAGATTTCTGAGATCCGCTGCCAACGTCCACAAGTTCAAGGACAGCCAGGACTACACAGACACGGCAACCAGTCCTCTGGTTGTAAACCCTGTCTCGCAAAAGCAAACAAACGCAAAACAAAACAAGATAAACGAAAAAGAATTATGGGCTGGAGGGATGGCTCAGCGATTAAAAGGGTTTACTGCTCTTGAAGAGGACCAGGGTTCAATCCCCATCAGGCATACCCAGTTTCTATCTCCAGCACCCACATGGTGTCTCACAATTGACTGTTAACTTCAATCTAGGGGATCGAATACCTCCTGCATACACTCATCCACAAACATAAATTAAAAAAAAATGAGTTAGCCATAAACTCAGACAGGAGTTTTTTCCCCCCTGTTCTTGAGAACAATTAAAAGACCTTTGAAAGGTGTTTAGTCAAAACATCTCTACATATTTAGTTTCGGGATCATCAGTGTTTTTTAGAGTCTCCTGGATCCCAATTTGTCCTCGAACTCTGTCTAGGATGTCTTTAAACTCCATGTCCCCCCTGCCTTAACCCTTCCCCCAAATAATGGGGTTTCAGGTGTGTGATACTGTGGCTGGGATCAAATCCAGGGCCTTGTGCTCGCTAGGGTGCACACACCGACTGATGGAGCTACATTTCTCCACCCATGCCTGCTCTTCAAGTCTTTCCAGTACCAGACTCTGTACTCAGAAATCAAGAACACAGCTGGAAACAAGCCCACAGCTCTTTTGGCAATGTGAATCGATCTCAGTTTTCCATGAAAGGCCATGGCTAATACTTATTACTTTATTTAGGGAAAAATATATCCAAAAGTCCTTTTAGTTTGTAAAGTGCTTTTGGCTCCATTGTGGTTCTTTGCATGCGTGGGGCTCAAGAGATTATAAATAACCAATAATCAAGCACTTTCTCAAGTGCTTTCTTTGCCTGCACCATTCCAGCTATTTAACAATTTATAAAACAAACCCATGTGGTGTGCACTTTTTGAAAAAGATTTATTTATTTTATGTGTATGAGTGTTTTGTCTGTGTGCACATCACCCATGTGCCTGGTACCCAAGGAAGTCAGAAGAGGGTACCAGATGTTCTGGAACTGGAGTTACAATTGGTTGTTAGCTACCAGGTGAGTACTGGGACTTGAACCCAGGTCCTCAGATAGAGCAACCGGTCCTCTTAACTGATGAGCCATTTCTCCAGGCCCTGTGCATACTAAATTTTTTTGAGACAATATCTCATTCTATAGCTCTGGCTAGGAATAAAGATGTGTGCTATTCACGAGCCAAGCTCAGGGTGATACTGGATCCTCTAGAAGACTGCTTGGCCCCTCACTGAGTTACGTAGCTCCTCCCTCCCCAGAAGGAAGCCTTGCTTGCAGCCCTGCATTTCAAGTATCCTACGCCCATTGAAGACATTGACTATGAAGAAGAGAAAGTTCTCACCCGTTTAAAGTGCTGGAACCATCCTTACGATGAGTGATTTTTCTGGGACAGTCCTTATCTTTGCCCTTTAGAGAAAAATCTAGCTGAGGAAAGGAGGCTTATACAAAGAGACTGGATCTTCTGAATGGTGATACATGCCTCTAGTCCCAACCTGAGGATGTGTGGTATAGGAGGTCCTTCTTTCTAGGTGTTGCTTGTATTGGTTAATGAATAAAGAAACTGCCTTGGCCTGATAGGGGCAGAACTTAGGTAGGTGGAGAAGATAGAACTGAATTCTGGGAGGAAGAAACCAGAGTCAGAGAAGCCATGGATCCTCTGCCTGAGACAGACGCCAGTTAGAATCTTTCGGGGTAAGCCACTGCCACGTGGCGATATACAGATGAATAGAAATGGGTTAAATCAAGATGTGAGAATTAGCCAATAAGAAACTAGAACTAATGGACCAAGCAGTGGTTTAATTAATACAATTCTGTGTGGTTATTTCAGGGCTAAGATAGCCGGGCAGCCAGAAAGAACAAGCAGGCCCTCTCCCTACAACAGATGTGGAAAGAGGAGGATCAAAAGGGACAAGGATTCTGTCAAAATAACCAAACCAAACCAAAACAGAGGCAGGGCACCTCTACAGCTGAGGGCAGCCTGGTTTGACAGGCTCCAGACCAACCATAACTACATAATAGGACCCATCTTAAAACCAACATTAACAATAGATCAAATGTGTGCTATCCCATTTGGATCTATGCATGTTAAAAGTAATTTATCTACTATGAATGAAGAAGAAAAAGAACCATTCCTTTTTATGGCTCAGAAGCTGAGGCTGAAAGAGCTTAAGTAATGTCAAATGGTACAAAAGATGGAGTTGTAATTTAATTTCATGAGTCTGAAAATTTGTGGTCTTTTATTCTCTCCCATTGAGTCTGAGTGTCAAACCAAAGGCCTTTGTCTTAGTTAGGGTTTCTGTTGCTGTGATGAAACACTATGACCAAAACCGAAAGTTGGGAAAGAAAGGTTTATTTGGCTTACACTTCTGCGTCATTGTTCATCACTGAAGGAAGTCAGGACAGGAACTCAAACAGAGAAGTAACCTGGAAGCAGGAGCTGATGCAAAGGTATGCTTCCTGGCTTGCTCACCATGACTTGCTCAATCTACTGCCCCCTCCCCCCCAATAGGGTTTCTCTGTGTAGCTTTGGAGCCTTTTCTGGAACTTGCTCTGTAGATCAGGACTAGTCTCAAACTCACAGAGATCCACCTGCCTCTGCTTACTGTGTGCTGGGATTAAAGGCGTGAGCCACCACCGCCTAGCATCAGCTTACTTTCTTATAGAACCCAGGACCAGCAGCCCGGGGATTGCATCACCACCAATGGGTTGGGACCTCTCTCATCAATCACTAATTAAGAAAAAGCCTTAAGACTGATCTTATCAAAGTATTTCTTCAATTAAGTTTCCTTTCTTTCAGATAACTCTAGTTTGGTGTTAAGTTGACATAAAGTGATGTGGGATTCCCCTTTGTAGGCTGTGATTACCATTGATTTAATTTTATTCAAATTAATTTGAATAAAAGAAACTGGCTTGGCCTGATAGGGTAGAACAGAGCTAGGTGGAGAAAACTAAACTGAATGCTGGGGGCGGGGGAAGAAGGCAGAGTAAGAGAGAAGCCACGTAGCCCCACTGGAGACAGATGGCAGAATTTTACCCAGTAAGCCACTGCCACGTGGCGATACACAGATTAATGGAGATGGGTTAAATTAAGATGTAAGAGTTAGCCAATAAGAAGCTAGAACTAGCCGGGCGGTGGTGGTGCATGCCTTTAATCCCAGCACTCGGGAGGCAGAGACAGGAGGATCTCTGTGAGTTCGAGACCAGCCTGGTCTACAAGAGATAGTTCCAGGACAGGCTCCAAAGAAACCCTGTCTCAAAAAAAAAAAAAAAAAAGAAGCTAGAACTAATGGGCCAATCAGTAATTTAAATAATATAGTTTCTGTGTGATAATATAATGTATTTTAGATCTGAGCTGCCGGGAGGCTGGGAAACAAACAAGTGACTCCCTACAACATAAGACTGTAGTGATATGTTGTTTGTAATCTAACAAATAAAGCTTGCCTGAAGATCAGAGTGCAGAGCTAAACCACTAATTAGCCATAAAAGCCAATCAGTGGTGGCACACACTTTTAATCCCAGCACTCAGGAGACAGAGACAGACTGATCTCTGTTAGTTCAAGGCCACGCTGGGCTACACAGAATTGATCCAGTCTAAAAGAAAAACAGAGCCAGGCAGGGGTGGTTCATACCTTTAACTCCCAGTACTTGGGAGTCACATGCCTTTAATCCCAGCCCTAGCGAGATGGAGACAGGAAGGCATATGGTTGGGCAGAGAGAGGAATATAAGACAGGAGGAGACAGGAGCTCAGCTCAAGTCTGAGGATGCAGTCTGGAGATGCAGTCTGAAGATTTGTAGAGTCAGGATCGCCCCTTTGGTCTGAGCTCCAGTGACTGACTGTTCTGCTTCTCAGTCTTCAGTATTAATACCTATATCTGACTCTGGGTTTTTATTATTAATACCAATCAGAATTCGTGCTGCACAAGACTAGCCAGCACAGCCTTGTACATTAAAAACTATTTTTGTAATTATTTTCTTTTAAATACAGGATCTCATGGTGTAGCTCTGGCTAGCCAGCGATTTGCTTCGTAGACCATGGTTGAACTTTAGAGAATCACTGCTTCTGTCTTTTGAAGGCTGGATGCTTTGTTTTTGAAAGGGGCATCTATAACCCAGGTTGGCCTCTGTCACAAGCATATGTATGACACAGTGACCGGTTTTAAGTGGTTCTGGGGGTGGAACTCAGGCCTATGTACGTGCTAGGCAAGCACTCTACAAGATGGCGCAGAGACAAAGACCTCAGTGACTTGCCTTTAGGCCTGACAAACCGAGTTAAGTCCCCAGGACCGACATGGTGGAAGAAGAAAACTGATTCTCACAATTTATTCTTTGGTTTCCATATGCCCACAGTGACATGTGTGATGTGCATGTGTGTGCACACACACGTATAATAAATGTTAAAAAATATTATGGACTGGAGAGATGGCTCTGTGGCTAAGAGTACTGACTGCTCTTCCAGAGGATCTAGGCTCCAGTCCCAGCACCCACAGGATGGCTTACAGTTGTCTGTAACTCCAGCACCAGGGCACCCAATGCCCTCTTCTGGCCTCCATAGGCACTGCATGCACATGGTGTACAGAAATATCCATACCCACAAAACAAAAGATTAAACTTTTTAATACACACCACACACACACACACACACACACACACACTCCAATAGCTGTTGAGGATGTGTTGAGAGAAGGATCCTGGTGCAGCCGCTGTGGA